GGGGGTGATTTCTCGCTTTCTGTCTCTATGTCTCTCTCTGTCTGTCTGGCGAGCGCATGCGCCCTATAGTGACAATCTCTCCAAAAAAAAACCCAAAAAGAAAAACAATGCATGTCCAAGAAAAAGAACCAGAAGCAGTGATAAGCTAGAACGTATTAGAAAAGTATTCTCCAGGGCAATTCCATAAACTAGGTCACATATTAAGTCTTACTAGATTTTAAAGTGTGTAAATATCATATAAATTATCTTCTCTAATCACAACAAGATGAAGTTACTTGGACACACATGCACACATGCCCGGCTTGAGTTTCAAACCACAAGGTCCAGGACTCGAACTGCTGTTCACACAAGGGAGCCCAGTACCTTAACCACTATGCTACCTGCTGGGCCCAGATGTTAATGCTTTTTCTTTTTTAATTTTCATTTTAACAATTTTTGGCAGCTAAACTAGCAAAATGACAAAAATAACTGAATCTAATTTTGAACGTAAAGAATTGACATGAAACACAGAGATTTTGTCCTGACACTTTGCAGAAGTTTACTAATAGAAAGAACCACAATTTTCTCATGGGGGAAAATGTGTTTGTGTATTATATACATTAAAAGCATGCATACTTCCATTTTTGTTCAATTCATCAGATAATTTTATGAAAAAAACAAACAGAATTTTTGAATGGCTTAATTGATGAACTAAATTTGTACTTCCTGACCCTGAAAAGGTGGCTTTAATCATTCTTTCATACGTATTTGTGAATATGTCATTAATTCATGAGAAAAGTGCTGTAAGAACCATGGTGAAAAGGACAGCAAAGTTCCCAAGTTGAAATAACAAATGAAAAAACAGTTTATCTCAGCCTTTTTTTCCAGGCTGGATTTTGACTCGTGTTAAGGATAGAAAGCTTGTTCTGAACCTCTTTGCTTTCCCATTAAAGTTTAACAGAAAACACTAGAATCGATCCTCATTAGAGATTATGAAATAGAAAAATTGTGCTTAGTTTCAAAAATTTGAGTTGAGAGCCACCAGACCCTTTCACTGAAAATAGTTGTTTCATCACTTTCACTTCTGGGAGAAATGCTTGGCACGTAGTAAGCAGGGATGAAAACATGACACAGCACAAAGTCTCAGTACAGGCCCTCTAAAAAGTTCCGAGGCCTCCTTTATGCCTGAGTAATGGAGTAGCTGGAAAACTGCCTTTGAAAGCAGAGGTTTCTGGCCAAAAGGGAAGGCTAGCCAAAGTCTTTGAAAAATAAAGTAGCAGGAAGCCAAAGCAAGAAATGTTCAAGGCAGGTTTCTTATGCAAAGTCCCATAAGCAAAGCCTGCTAAATAAGAGCTTGCATTGCATATCTTAGTTATGGTGGAGTTGTTGGGGAGGGGTTGGGCGCAGGGAGAGGGGTGAGCAACTTGGCTACTGCTCACTCACCTCTGCAATCCAGACTGAAGTGCAGAGAACAAAGATCAATGACTTTTTTTTTTTTTTTTCCATGCCTGGTGGACTTTTACTGCCTCAATTGGTTTTTACAAGATCTTCTTTTGTGTATTACCAACCAATTTTTCACATTTACTGTATAGTTTGTGATTTAAAGTTATTATGTATCGAGAGCAGACAGGGGTCATTCCTCTCTCTCTCTCTCTCTCTCTCTCTCTCTTTTTTTTTTTTGCCATAGGGAGCATGCACTTGCCAGAGAGGCAGAGAGGCAGAAAGCAAGAAATCATCCCCAGTGGGGATGGCCATGTGCAATCCCTTCTCCTCCCATTCTCATCTCGGGATTTTGGATATGCACGCATGTGCACCCGGTGTGACTTTCAAGCTGCTGGGTCTGGGACCTGAACAGCAGTTGACTACACGTGAGTCCAGTGACATAACCATTATGCTGTCTGCTGGTCCCTCTGTTTCTCTTTTTTAATTGCCAGAGTGTGTATGCACTCACCAGAGAGGGACAGAGAGCCAAGGAAAGAGAGGATGAATTCACATCCATTCACCCAGCTAGTAGGGCCTGGGCTCCCTGCAATCTCTTCTCCATCTCTGCATCCTGTCAGGATTCTGGGCATGCATGCACACATGTACACATGCCCAGGGTGTTTTCTTTTCCTTTTTCTTTCCTTTTTTCCTTTCTTTCTTTCTTCCTTCCTTCCTTCCTTCCTTCCTTCCTTCCTTTCTTTCTTTCTTTCTTTCTTTCTTTCTTTCTTTTCTTTTCTTTTCTTTCTTTCTTCCCTCCTCCTCCTCCTTCTTCTCTCTCTCCCTCTCTCTCTCTCTCTTTTTAAAAGAGATTTTTGCTAGATTTTTGCTATAGGGCATGCACACTTGCCAGAGACAGAGTGAAAGGGAAAGTGAGAAATCACCACCACCACCCCCCGGGGGGGCGATGGCCATGCTACAATCCCTTCTTCATTCTCCTCTCAGGGTTTGGGGCACGCACACATGCACTTGGTATGAGTTTCAAGCCATGGGGTCCGGGACTCGAACTGTGGTTGACCATAGAGTAGTCCAGTGCCACCTACTGGCCTCCCCATTATGATTTGCAGGCCACCAGACTGAAATTCGAACCATAGTCAGCCATGTGGAATTAAGGTCCCTTAGTCACTAGGTTACAGGGTCAGCCCCAGGAAGGGGACACTTCTGATTATGTAAAAAAGGTAAAAGAGATTTCAAGGGAAATTCCTGAGCAGTCTATTGCAGAGAAATGAAGCCATTTCAAAAGCACTCTGCACAAAAGTGTTTAATTCATACAAGTGTTAGTTTAAGGGTCATGAGGAAAAGGCACAGAGAATGCACAACCAAACAGTGACCCAGTCAAGGCAGGAGGAAATCAGATGACATGTGGTGACACTCAAGCAACCCTATGGAAGGCAGCCCGTGACAAGGAGCCACCAGTGAGTCATCCTGGACGTGGATTTTACCACCCCAGTCAAGCCTTCAGATGACTGCAGCCCCAGGCAGTGTATTTGTTTCTTTCTTGGTTTTTTGTTGTTGTTGTTGTTGTTGTGGTTGTTTGGTTTTGGTTTTGTCTGTGTTTGTTTTTGAGTGATTTTCTATAGGGCATGCATGCTAGCTGGACAGAAAGAGGGACAGAGAGAAAGTGAGAGATCACCCTCCAGGGGGATGGTCACGCTACAGTCCCTTCTGCTCCATTCTCCTCTTGGAATTTCGAACACCCAGGGTATTTTTCAAGCCTCGGTGTCTGGGACTCTAACCATGCGGTAGACCCTGTGGGATCCAGTTACCTTAAACACCAGGCCACTGGCTGGCCCCTAGTTAATTCTTTTTTTTTTTTTTTTAAGAGAGATTTTTGCTATAGAGTGCATACACTCCCCAGATAGACAGAGACAGGAAGCAAGAAACCACACAGTCCTCTCCCTGCCCCCTCACCCCCACCCCACCTCCCACTCCCATTTTGGGAGAAGGCCACACCACAATCCCTCCTTCTCTTTGGATCCTGGGCAAGCAGGCACATGCAACCAGCATAAATTTTAATTCTCTGGGTCCAGGACTTGAACTGTGGTCAACTCTGTGGGAGTCCAGCGACATAACCATTACACCATCTGCTGGTCCCCCCTAGTTAACTCTTAATGTTACAGCCTGACTACCCATTTGGGGTATTTAGAAAATGCAGCCGGCGAAGCCTCACTCCAGACATTTTGACTGAATTCATCTGTGTGGAGGTGGGGCCCCTAATTATGCGCAGGATTTTCTACTTGAAAAGCTACATTGAACCCTCAGGTGAGTTCTTATCTTCCAGGCCCGTTCGGAGCCTGGTTCCAGAAGTCACATGCCCAGAAGTCACATGTGTCTCTGGAACGGCTCAGGGGGCACTATTGTCAGGGGGCAGGAACCCTCTGGGCACCAGCCTCACTGAGGCTGAAGGCTGTTGGGTGTGTTTTGTCCTCTTCCTCTGCTCTTCCAGAACGCGGATCGTTCCAAGGACAACTTCTAAGCCTTTCTTCCCTAGAGGTCCGTTTGGATTGCCGTCTAGGGCCGCTTGGAGAGAGATGCCGAATCATCTAAGGTTTCATGAATCATTCGAGGTCAAAACAAACGTCTCTGAGCTCTCTCTTTCCCAGAGGAGTAAATGGAAATGCTGTAACGTTTCTCACAAACCTTTGGGAAACAACACAGATTCCGTTTGGGCTGGGGCAGCCCCAGAGCCCTGCTCTCCACAAATGTTTGTTAATGACATAAGTCTCTCCAAAAGCCCCCTCCTGATCACGCATCCATTCGGAGTCGCTGAGGGTACCACGGTAGCGAATCTGCAAGGGACAGGATAGCGGCTGGTTTTTCAAAGCGATCTCAAATAAAGCGACACATCTGATTTTCCAAAATCAGTTGTGTGCCCACACTCAAGGCTCCGGTTCGGGTTCCTGCCCCGGCGTGGCCTCGATGCCTCCCGGGGAGGCTGGCTAAGGGATGTGCTCCCTGCCCTTGAACCTCCTTCCTTTGTAGCTTTTCCGGCCTGCGCGGGTGCGTTTCCCGGCGGAGGAGCGCGCGCGGCTGCGCCCATCAGCGCGCGGCGCCGGCTGCAGGGCCCGGGGCTGCCTAGGACCCAG